TTCTGTCTTAGTCTCGTGTATTGTTTTGCTTTTATCCCTGTTTAGCGGATAGCTACCTTACCAAGCCTGTTTAAGTTTTCATAGTTTTCTTAGTCTAGTCTTAGTACCTTTAAAAAGTATTTAAGTCTTAAATAACATTTTCCTAATAAAAGGCCTTAAAAAGTCTTACAATATCTTAAATTCAGATTCGATGGGTCTTAAATATTTTGTCACATTACTGCTAAAATATCTTCAGTCTGACAGACCTAATGACTTTTTACAATCATTGGACAGACCGAAGATTTTTTTTCTCCCCCACTGTTACTGCATCATCATAGAGAATCACAGTTGCAGAATACAGGTCAAACTACCTTCTTAATGTTCTCAATAATAATAATAATAATAATACTACAGGTCGAGCTACAGCTGATCAGCCTTCTAGCTAGTTTAAAATGTTTTTTTTTTTTTTTACTTGCCCGACCGGACAAATAGCCTGATTAAAACAAAAGTGACAAAAAAATAACCAGCGAAGCATCGAAACGTGATAATGATTCTTCTCATTTTATTAGACTACATTTAATGTAAACGACGATTGATAATGGATAGTGTATTTCTGGTATCAAGGTCACGCTGTTGAGACTCCTGCTGTCTGTCTCTTTGTGAGAGACTTCAGAACAAATGAGCATAACAGCATACATAAAGAAACTCAGAAGAAACACACTGGGGTAAAAATTCTAAATGTTTAGTTTATTCATAACAAGGCAGAGCAGATGGCTCAGGCGACCGAGGCACAGATGGTGGGCTGAGGGTGAGCAGAGGGGCTGACAGGCTATAGCAGAGGCGGCTGAATAAAATCAGTATCACATTTGCAATTGTGCAGATATTCTGGAGAAAACAGGACTCTTGCTCATGTGATATTGCTAATCTCTATCATATGATATAAATATAACACAAAAACCCATATGGGGGCATTTTTTTGCACTCATATCTTTAATTTTAATACCATTTTATCAGGGTTTTAATTAGTTTCATAACACAGTCAGATGCCCTGCATCATGTTCAATAAAATAAAACATTTCTGATTCTGATTCTGTTGTTCATCAGCAGTTGCTGTGTAAGCTGACACTTATTTAGTTTAGCAAAAAGTGTTGTTTAGATGATGTGAAAAGAGTTGGTATTGTTATTAAATATACATATACCTATGTAATCAACTACGTGTGAATCACGGGGCGATGACAATCGTCACTTTTAGACATCAGAGCTTTTCGCGGTACAGACATCGGTTCCAACCATAACCTCGTGGTGGCCAAATGTCGGCTGTGGCTCAAGCGCGTGCCAACCCAACCTCGCCGGCCGCGTCCATTCGACCTCGCGAAACTCAAGGATCCGAACACGGCTACCCAGTTCCAGATCAAGCTACAAAACAGTTTTGAGGCCTTCGCCAATCTAACGGACAACGAGCAACACTGGATGGGTATTCAAGAAGCGTTCGTAGCGAGCGTGGACTCAACCGCCGACTGACGCCGTGGGACGTACAGGGAGGGATGGATCCAAGGACGAACATGGACGCTGGTCTACAAGCGGTGTGACGTCTGAAGACGTCCGAGCCACGGCTGAAGCGGCATATCGTGACCTCGATCACCGAGTCAAGGGAAGCTGCCGCCGCGACAAGAGGACTCTTAATACATAATACCATGTATTAATACCACTCGCATACAAACAACAATAACAACATTTTTGAAGAAATAGTACAACACCTGCTATCTTGACACATTCCCCACATCTTTTTTTCAAAACTGCGTTTAACGGTTTAGAAGCCGATCTCTTAGAATTGGTGAATGCTTCACTGCTTTCTGGGACTTTTCCAAACTCCCTGAAAACTGCAGTTGTTAAGTCCCTCCTGAAAAAGAGCAGTCTTGATAACAACATATTGAGCAACTACAGACCGATATCAAATATTCCATTTTTTATAGGCAAGATTATTGAAAAGGTAGTCTTTAATCAGCTTAAACTCAAATGGATACCTGGACAAGTTTCAATCTGGTTTCTGACAGCATCAGAGACAGCGCTCATTAAGATAATAAATGATATTCGCTTAAATTCTGATTCTGGTCTCTAAGCCTTTTTTTCAGAGTGA